CTCAGCCTCCCGAGTAGCTGGGATTACAGGCACATGCTGCCGTGCCTGGCTAGTTTTTTGTATTTTAGTAGAGACGGGTTTCACCATGTTGCTTAGGCTGGTCTAGAACTCCTGAGTTCAAGCAATCCACCCACCTCAGCCTCCCAAAGAGCACTGGTAGAATTTTTATAAGGCTTTTGCCTGAGGATACTCATCAGCCCATGTGGCAATGACCACAAAGAACTGAAGCAGCAATCTGTTGTCTTGCTAGCTTAAAAAGGACAAAGTTTGGGGTTGCCAAGGCAGCTTAAAAGTGAAAGGTGAAATCCCAGAATAAAAAGTGCTGCAAAATTTCTATATGAACTATGCCCAATATTTGAATGACCCTGTTTGAGGAAGGCTCCAAGATTCTCCACAAAAAGAAACAGCTCTAAGGTGGAAGGATCTGAGATGAGATTTCTGCTGCTGGCTGTCACAGAAAAAATAAAGTTGCGATTTTATTCCAGTCACGTTATATGTCTACTAAGACAAAAATCAACACTCATCAGAGAAAAAGAACAAGATCCAAAGTCTTTAACATATCACCCATAATACCCAGTACACAAGCAAAATATACTAGTGTGAACAAACAGGAAAAAAAAAGACCTAGAGTCAATAGAAAAAGCAGCTCACAGATACCAAATCCTGAATTATCTAAATGTCAGAATTAGCAGACAAGGATGTCAAAGCAAGTATTATAACATGTTCAAGCATTTAAAGAAAAATATGGCCATAATAAATGTTTCTATGGGGAAATCTCAGCTGAGAAATGGAAGCTATGAAAAACAACCAAATAGAAGTTCTAGAACTTAAAAATTATCATGTCTGAAATGAAAAATGCATTGGATGACCTTAATTGGAGATCAGATGGCAGAGAAAGGGTCACTTAACTGGAAAATGAATAGGTCTATTGAATTGAAGAAAAGACTTTTGAAAATAATAAACAGAGTTTCAGAAATTTGAAGTGCAATATCATGTCTAACTATGTACAATATGAGAGGAGAGATGACAGAAAAATATAATATTTAATAAATGGCTGAAGTCTTCCCAAATTCTATGAAAAATACAATCTTCTAGATCCAAGAAGTTCAGAAAATTCCAAGCCAGGGTAATTATAAAGAAACCCACACATAGTCAAAAGGATGAAAAAACAAAGATAAAAAGCACACTGTGAGAGAAGCCAGAAAAAAGTAACATTGTATGCAGTGAAAAAGTTATATGAATGAAACCTGACTCATACCTAACTTCTGCACAGTAAACTGATTTGCAGCAGAGGTACCAAAGCAATTCAAAGGACAATAAAAAATCTTTACTACAAATCCTTATGGAGTGACTAGACAGGTTTGTAAACAAATGTACAAACCTCATAGTATAGAAAAATTTGAGCTGACGCTTAAAGTGTCCAGAAGAAACACATAGGAAAATATTATGATGTGAGAGCTGACAAAGATTTCTTAGGGTTACAGAAGCAATAAACTTTTTTTTTTTTTTTTGAGACAGTCTCGCTCTGTCACCCAAGCTGGAGTGCAGTGGCATGATCTCGGCTCAATGCAACCTCTGCCTTCCGGGTTCAAGTGATTCTCCTGCCTCAGCCTCCCAACTAGCTGGGATTATAGGCGTGTGCTGCCACACATGGCTGATGTTTATATTTTTAGTAGCGACAAGGTGTTGCCATGTTGGCCAGGCCCGTTTTGAATTCCTGATTTCAGGTGATCCACCCACCTCAGCCTCCCAAAGTGCTGGAATTAAAGGCTTGAGTCACCATGCCCCGCCACAATAAACATTAAAAAAAAAAAAAAAAAAAAAAAAAGACATTGGGAGGCCAAGATGGAAGAATTGCTTAAGGCCACAAGTTTGGGACCAGCCTGGGCAACACAGAAAAATTCTATTTCTACAAAAAAAATTTTAAAAAGCCAGGCATGGTGATGCATGTCTGTAGCCCCTAGTAACTTGGAGGCTGAGAATTGCTTGAGCCCAAGAGTTTAAGGCTTCAGTGAGTTCTGATCATGTTACTGTACTTCAGCCAAGACAACAGAGCAAGACCCTGTTTCTAAAAATAAAAATAAATCAGCCTCCATCAAAATGAGAATAATCTATTCACTGAAAGACATTGATTAAGTAAGAAAATAAACCACTAACTAAATAAAATACTTGAAAAACATATCTGACAAAAGACTTATGCCCAGAATACATAAGGAACTCCTACGACTTCATAGTGAAGACAGGTAACTCAATTAATAAACATCAAACAACTGGAATAGATATTTCACAAAAAAAGGTACACAAACGTCCAATAAACATATGAAAAGGAATCAAGGAACCTTGGTTTCCCTGGTAGCTTGGTATCCTTCAAGGAATCCTTGAGTCCTTGGAAATACAAATCAAAATTGCAATGATACACCATTAGGAAGCTTAAATTAAAAACGCTAAAAACCCAAATATTGGCAGGGATTTGAAGCAACCACAACTTTCATACATTTATGGTGGGACTGTGAAAGATAAAACTACCTTGGACTAGTTTAGCAGTTAAATACAAACCTACCATAAGTATCTATCCAACAGGAATAAACTAGATGTCCACAAAACGAGTAAGAGTGTTCATAGAATCTTTATAATCCAAATTGGAAACAACACAAATGATATCAATGTAAGAATGAATAAATACTTTGTGGCACATTCACACAATGGAGTACTACTCAGCAATTTAAAAAAGCCGATACATACACAAAGGAGCATGGATGAATCTAATAGATATTATACTGAGCCATATAAAACACTAGAAAACTTCATTCTGTATGATCTTATTTATATGAAGTTCTAGAGTAGATAAAATTAATCTATGGTAACAGAAAAATAAGAAAAAGTAGCTGTCTCAAGATAAGGCTTCCATGCTGACTGGGAAGGATCATGTACAGACAACGTAATATAATGTTCCATTTGCCCTTTTCAGGAAAGAATTTTGCCTACTGCTGGGAGTGCAGTGCAGTGCAGCACAAAGCCCTTGGTCTGTCAGGATTCAGTGTCTTCGCCCTTGGGTATGATCATCCAGGCTGAAGAAAACATCACTTCTCAAGGTCATAGCAATTTCCAGGGACAGCCCATATTTAGACAGTAATCAACATGGGGATATTAGGGCCGAGCCCCTTTCCTCAACTTGAGACAGCTCTGATGGGTCATTCTAGCTTCGTAACTCTTCAGCATTGTAGCTCAACTTTCCCACTGCCCAAACTGTTTCCTTCCCATCCATTCCCTTCCATAGATATGAATCTCAAGAGCATTCCCTAATAAAGTGGTTCTTAAAATATGATTCCTGGACTAACAGTATTAGCATACCTGGGAACTAGCTAAAATGCAAATTTATGGGTCTCACTACAGACCTACTGAATTGGAAAGCAGAAGCACCATCTACACGCAAAGAGCATCCTATCAACTTTTTGTGTCTCACTCTTAAATATACTGAGATGGACAGACAATTGGAAAAAATTATCCAATATGAAAAAGAGAGAGAAAAGGGGGTGAAATCCTTACTTGGAAGAAATAACACTGTGTAAAAAGAAAACAAAGTTTTAATCCTCACAAAGTTTAAGACAAAACACTGCATTCAAGAAACACAAATAAATATTTTTAAAGTATATTTAGAAAGTTAAAAAGAGATGTCTTAGAAATTAAATCTGTTTAGGCTGGCTATTTTCTGTTTGCTCTTTGAAATCACTCTCTCTACCCTCTGTGATAACCCAGGAAGCTGGCCTTTTTACCATCAGTAGGGCTCCCTTCCTCTCTGGCCAATGTTTGTCACTGTTAGTGGGTAACAGAAGAGAAAGGACCTGGCTCTCTCTAACAGGCAATGAGTAGTGGTTTGGCAAACTGTGCTTCTTCTCAGCAGGTTTTGTAGTATCTTTTTGAGTCAATAAGTTATAAGAACCTAAAACTCTGATTAAAAATTAAATATATGAAAATTCAAGTAAATAAAATTTTAAATTAAAAAACTTCAAAGTTATCAAAAAAGAAATTGAATTATCTACAGACAAAGGAGTTAGAAGAATATATTTGGAATTATCTATCTTTTTACCATTCCTCCAACTAGTTAAGATCAAGCATTTTCAGCAGCTGGAAAACATGCACAAAAATACGCATATCACTCAATAACAAACCACCAATGCACATGTGAGCCTGCACTTCATAAAAGTACATAATATATGACTTTTAAATATTTCATAATTTAAATGTGCATTTATTTTGGGGTTTCTTAAACACGTTTATTTTATACATATTTATTTCAATTAAAATTTTGACAGACTAAAAGATTGTATTTTATCAGAGTCCATTTACAGGCAATTTGGAACACTGATTTCTCATGGAAAAAAACCCAGACAGATAGTAATTATTACACTCTGTGGAACTGAATGGCCAGGAAAACTGACCTCTTACTGCAAACCAAGTGCATGGACAAAAGCCCACCCCTGCAGTAGCAGCGTCTTGATGATGAGTTGAATGGAGACATAACATCTTATTTTGTGCCCAGAAGGTAGGGTAAGGCTCAAAGCTGCAAAAGGAAAATGTTCTCATAAAGACAAGATTCAGGTGCTGCTTGCTGCCACACTCCACAAACACACCCTGTCTGTGCCAATGGCTTGTGACTGCCATGCAGCAAGAATGAGCACAATATACTCTCACTCTCACTCTCAGAGCAAGTATTTTCCCCTTTTCGAGAGAATGAATTCAGGAAGTTCTTTACCAAAATGACAGCATTTGCTCCAAGGCACCAAAGGTATAAAGCTTTTTAGAAAATACACAGAAATAAACAGACTTAACATGGGAATTAGTTCTTAATGGTGGAATCTGTTACTACTGTAACTAGTGTAATAATTACTTCAGATAGATTACAATCAAAATGCATATCAAATAGACTGTGCTGTGTGAGGGAATGTGTGACCAAAGAGTATTCTTACAGGAACTTTGGGTGCTGGCTGGTAAGCACTCACAGGAGTTCTTTGCAGAGCCAGAGAAGCTGAGCATCATATGTATTCGTACAATCCTTCTTCAGACTTCTCTTTGCCATCAGCTTTTTCAAGGATGGGCTGGTCTGAAATCTATTGATGCAATCCATCCATAATGAACTTCACAGTATCCAGCCCAACGTAATCTAGAAGCTCAAGTGAATCCATGGGGTTCCTGGATCCTACCTTCATAGCGGTATCAATGTTTTCCTTGGATGCATCACCTTATGTATGCAACCTGACTGCTTCCATGAGGTGTTGAATCCTGAGACAGCTGATAATAAACCCAGGAGTGTCCTTGCAAGAAACAGGATGTTTTCTCAGGGTTTTGCTCAAGTTTACCAAAGATTGAAATGTCTTTTGAGTGACCACTGATGTTTTAAGGACCTCTGCAAGTTTCATCAGGGGCACTGGATTGAGTAAATGGAGGCCAGCAAATCAGTCTTGTTTGGTGGCAGTATTGGCTATGCTTGCAATCTGCAAGGAGGAAGTATTACTGGCAAAAACTGTATGTTCAGCCGCAAACCTGTGCAGCCTCTTGAGAGCTTGATTCTCTACAATTGTCTTTAGATTCTCTACAATGGCTTCTACCACCAGGTCTGTACTGTGAACTATGGATGCTGCATCTGTGCTGGTTGATATGTTGCTTAGGGTTTTCTCCACAAATTCATCATCAGCCTTAGTGTTTTCTGCAAACAACTTCTTTGCCACTTTCCCAAGGCTCTTCTCAATTCCCTTTTTATATTCTGCCAAGATGTCCTCTGTCTGGTCTAGCAACACTACTGTGTGGCTGGTCACTGCAGCAATCTGTGTGATGCTGATGACCATTATGTGCTTGACAATGATTTTTCTTGCACAGGGCTGTGGATGAGGAGGACACAGAGTAAATGAACTGCCTGGTGATGAAAGCCATGGTGCAGTGGTGGTGGCGATTGCAACAAGACCCAGGCAGGGAAGGCACATGTGGTTTGGGAACCAGCAGACAGGCAGCCTCTGAGGCCATTTTAAATTTTTTAATAAAACTGTATTACTAATTTTATCTGCAAATAATTTTTGTCCCAATGATAATGTATGCTCAACATTAATATTCTTCTAATTATTTAAATTCATGATTATTGATAATTGATGATAAGCATTGAACTTCCAGTTTTGCTGATTAACTTTTATTTTTATAAAAATTTTAATTAAATAGTATCGATCTGGCATTTTGGTATTAGATTTTAAAAAACAAAATATCAGTACCATAATTGTGCTGTGGCATCATAACTATTATATTTATGGAACATGCTAACCACTCATTTTCTATATCTTTCAAGATTTACATATCAAGTCATATCATCAGAATGTTATTGATATAAAGTAGCAGGGAAGAGGGGGAAAATGCCAGCAATAAAGCAGATAAAAACTAACCAGATAAAAAGTTAAGCAATGAAAATACAGCTCAAGTAAACATATTTTGTTTCCTCTAAATCAAACTACAGGGTGAGGCTGGATAAAGCTTTCTTATCTAGGGTAATTATACAAAAGAAATAGTAAATGTTAGGAAACATGTGTTTAAAAATTAAAAAAAAAACCAACTTAGTCTAATCCTGCTTTCTCATAAAGAAATACGTTATAAAAATACCATGTAATATTTCCCTCTATTCAAATTTAAACAAGATAGAATAAATTAGCAGTCATGGGCCAAACATACATAATATATAATATAATGTAAGCAACAGTAGGACAGAAAAAAACCTTTAGGTATCTTGTTTGCCAGAAACATTTCATAATCTGTTTCCCCAGTTTCAACAAATTGTTGGTAAACTATTTTTTACTGCAGAAAATATTCTAGGAGACTCTCACTTATCCCTTCCAACACCAAGTTTAGCCTCTATCCAAAAGTTCAATGCTATTTTTACATTTATTTGGAGTCCTCAATTCTGAAGTCAGAGTGACTCATAATTCCTTTATACTTGATTCAAATTTCTTGTGTTGTAGAAACAGAGGTATCTGTGAATGCCAGATACTAGATTTAACCCAAAGAAAACATGAGATAGGGGAGGTACACTATAATATATCAACTAGGAGAAGCTCTTACATTCTTTCCTTGCCAGGAGAAATCAAACTCTTAGCTATTCCTATAAAAAAATTAATTCCATTAAAAACACATTGACTATAGATCTCTTTGTAGGTTGTGACTTAGCTCAGTCCATCATAGCAAAACTTATTTTTACCTTATACTTGCTCATATTAAAAGTATGTACTTTTGCTTTTGTTTGCTCATATAAAACAACATTTTATATTATTTTAAAAAATAATAATAGTCATAATAGTGGCTAATTCTATAAAGACGTAGCCAGAAAAAAAGGAAATAAAAAATAAAAAACCACACCATGCAGACATTTAAATTGCTTCTTAAAAGCAAAAGATTCTGTTAGCGAGGATGGGGAGATTGGAATCCTTGTACATTGCTTGTGGGAACGAAACATGGTGTGGCTGCTATTGAAAAGCCTGACATCCTCAAAAAGCAAAAACACAGAATTACCACCTCATCTAACAGTTCCACCCAAAGAAATAAAAATAGGTATGCAAACAAAAACCTCTCCACAAACTTGCTGAATGTTCATAGCAGCACTATTCACAAGAGTCAAATGGAGGAAATAAGCCAAATGGCCATCAACAGTGATGAACATATAAACAAAATGTGATATGTTATTAAAATGAAATATTATTCAACCATAAAAAGGAATGAAGTACCAACACATGCTACAATATGGATAAACCATGAAAACTTTATGCTAAGTGAAAGAAGACAGATGTAAAAGGTCACGTATTGTATGATCTGTATATGAAATCTCCAGAATAGCTGTATCAAGGGAGGCAGAAAGCAGGCAAGTGGTTGACTGGGGTTGACGAAATGAAGTGATTGCTTAATGCGTATTCCTTTTGGATGATGAAAAATGTTCTGGAACTAGATAGAGGTAATGGCTACATAACATCATAAAGTTACTAAATGCAACTGAATAGTATATTTTATGTGGTTAATTTTTTGTTATTAATTTACCTAATAAAATTAGGATCATAAAATTAAGAAAAAAACGTCCTTTAGCTATTATTAGTGCCTAATCAACAGACTCCAAAGTAAAAATCCTGTTTTTCTCTGTAATCCAAGTTGCCTTGGAAATAGTAATTGTTCATAGTGCTTGCCTGCTCTTGTGAATTTAAAGAATCTACTTTTCATTAAAGGAAATTAACCTATAGACCAATGTTTCTCAACCAGGTACTGACATTTAGGATGGCATCTTGCTTTACTTTATGGGTTTATCAAACGCATTATAGTATGTTTGGAATCATAAGATGGTATTCACTAAATGCCAGCAGTGCTTCCTAGTCATTCTGACAACCAAAGTTACCCCACACATTTCCATATGTTCCTAGTTGAGAGCCACTGCTCTAGAACAAAATGCCATATGCTATGTATTGTGTTACATTATTAGAAGTTCCCTAGTATATGCAACTCAATGCTCTACAAATGAGTTATTTCAAAAGCTCAAACTTTTTTATATGTGGAAAGTAAACTTCTTGCTTTTGACATAGGATACTATAAAGATTTATAGATTTTTATTGTTGTTCTAAACATAAAAACTACTCTCAACCAGAAGCATGAACTTTATCATGAGGTAACTTGTGCCTAATATTTGATTACTAGATCTTATTATTCAAATGAATTTTCAACTTCTATTAATAGCACTTCATTCATTGATATAGTATTTTCTTTGCTTTTTTTTTAATATTATCAGGTTCCAAATATATAGGACAGTTATAAAGAATAATATAACACCTATGTACCTGCTAGCCAGTCTTAATAAACCTGAACTTTTTGCTTTTTTCCCTTAAGGAAGAAAACGTTACAGATAAAGTCCCCATGGGATTTTTTTCCTATAACATTCCACCATTCCTTTCTCAGTGGTGACCACTATCCAGAAGTTATTATTCCCATGAGTGTATATACATTTACTATAAATGCTGCCTACCTCCATAAACAATGTAACAGTTTTATTTACTTCACAGGCATGAAGTTCTGCTACATGTATCATTCTTTTTTTAAAAAAAATTACTTAATAGGCATTAGATGTTTATCCATTTTGATACATTCTAGTTTATCCATTGTAACTGTTACATACAAGTGTGGATTAAATTGTGTGTCCAGACCCCTCCCCATTATTTGTATATTGAAGCCCTAACCTGGGTGCTGTTTAATGGAATGGATACAGTGCTAGGAAGAATCAGCCCTGCTGGTACCTTATCTTGGACCTCAAGCCACCAGAACTGATAAAAAATAAATTTCTGTTGCTTAAGCCATCAAGTCTGTGGTACTTTGTTGTGGCTGCCCTAGCAAACTACTATACATAATATTCCATTGTTTGAACATACCACTTTACTTATTCTTTAACAATGGACTCTTATGGTATTTCTAGCTCCATACAGTAATGTACAACACTGCAACAAATGTTTGGTATGTAGATTTTGTTGTTCATATTACAGGACTTTTTCTTGGACACATATACAAAACAAGCACTATAATATGCTTATCTTCAACTTTCTGATTATAGCCAAATTGCCTTTCCAGGTAATTTTGGCCAATTCATACTCCATTGGCTGGATATAACATTGATTTCTCTCTGTCCTCTCCAAAACAGGTAATGACAGACTTCTGCTAATCTGACGAGTATGAAACATTTTGCTGTTTTAAAATGCATTTCTTTATCAGTGAGGTTGAACACCTTAATATATTTACTGAACACTAAGTTTTCTTCTGTGAATTGCCTACTTATATCCTTTACCCCATTTTCTACGTGGTTGTTTTTATTATTTTATTTACTAACAGGAGCTCTTCTTATACCTTAGATACTAATCTTTTGTCAACTACCTGAGTTACAAATAACTTCTCACCATCAGCAGCATGTTGCTTTTTTTTTTACAGTGTTCATTATCATACAGAAAGTTATTTTAATGTAGTCAAACTTATTAATATTTTTCTTTATGAAAATTACGTTTGATGTATTTAAAGAAATCTTATCGTGAGCTCAGAAAGATATTTTATTTTCTTCTTAACTTTTGCTTTTCACATTTGGGGGTTGACTTTTCCTGGATTCTATGTGTGACGTGACAGTTATTTTTTATATCAATAATTAAATGTCCCAGTGGGCCAACCTTTCCCTTGTACACAGGCCTATGTCTAGTTAACTTGCTTCCTGAGTCTAGCACTTTGCCTGGTACACATTAGGCAATTATAAACATGTGATCAATAAAAGGAAGGATGGAAGAAAGAGAGAAGGGAGAGAAAGGGAAGCAAGCTAGAGACAGCAGTGTGGAAAAAAGTATTTGGATCATGGTCTTTGACACAAACTTTATATTAGAACCATACAAGTCAAAGGATATTAAAACAGATTCAAGGGGTGGGTCACAGGAAGATGGATTTTCAAGGATTCTGGAATACTAGAAGCAAATATATCACTTAAGTGCATCTGAGCTTTCTCACCCCCACGATGAGAATGGCCTTGCTAGTGCTGAATTAGTTCCAAGTCCAGAAAACTGTGATGTTATAAATATCATTTATTAAGTCTTTGCAAAATGTTCAAGAAAGCCTAGGAACAAATGGGCAATGATATATTCAGAACTTGATACAGCAATGCTAGGTGAACCTTCCCTGTAGCGATGGTGGCTGTATGTACTGCAGGAAACCTAAAGAGATGGGAAAAACTTTTATAGATATACTGTATTTGCTACTATTCGGAATAGTTATTTAGTTTCTATATTCTTAACTAAATAATTTAGAAGCATACAGCAGGTGGGTAATAGTCTCTTCCCAACAATCCCTAACCTAAAGTTCAAAGGCGAGGACTGTGGTGGGGGGAGGGGGGAGTATAAGAAAAAACCAGGGAGAGAGATCCAAGATGGCCGATTAGCAGCAGCTCAGGATTGTAGCTCCCAGTGAAAGCGCAGAGACTGAGTGGACACCACACTTACAGACGAATTTTTGTTGCCCATGGACCAGGAGATTCCAGCGGAGGAGCCCCACGGGTCGCCAGCGTGACTCCTTTGGCTGGCACGGCAGTTCTCAGTATGGAGTATATGGAACTCGATGCCCTTTTAGTTGGTGTTTGGAGCTCTGGGAAGGCAGAGTCACCCATTCAGCTAATTGAAGGGGGGGACTGAAGCAGGGAGCCAGACCGGGAGATTCCTGGGCAGAAGAGCGCCATGAATCTCAATGCTGCTGTTTCAGCCGGCGCAGTGCCCCCACAAAAAAAACAGCAATTGGAAGCGCTGAAGATTGAGAGTTTCACAGCAAGCACAGCTGAATCTGGGAAGGTCCAGCTCTGTGGGGGAGGGGAATCCGCCAAAGAAAAACTAAGAAAAAGAAAAAGCTTCATCACCAACAAGCTGGATGTCCACTCAGAGACCCAATCTGAAAGTCAGCAATTACAAAGACGACGGGTGGGTAAATCCACAAAGATGGGAAGAAACCAGTGCAAAAAGACTGAAAATACCTGAAATCAGAATGTCTCTCCTCTTACGGGGGATCGCAGCTCCTCATCAGCAACAGAACAAGGCCTGATGGAGAATGAGTGTGATGAATTGACAGAATCAGGCCTCAGAAGGTGGAAAATAAGAAACTTCTGTGAGCTAAAAGAACATGTTCTAACCCAATGCAAAGAAACTAAGAACCTTGAAAAAAAGGTTTGATGAAATGCTATTGAGAATAGACAATTTAGAGAGGAATATAAGTGAATTAATAGAGCTGAAAAACGCAATATGAGAACTTCACGAAGTATGCACAAGTTTTAACAGGTGAATTATCAAGCAGAAGAAAGGATATCGGAAGTCGAAGACCAACTTAATGAAATAAAATGAGACAAGTTTAGAGAAAAAGGCTAAAAAGGAATGAGCAAAGTCTCCAAGAAATATGGGACTATGTGAAAAGACCTAATCTACATTTCATATGAGTATCTGAATGTGATGAAGAGAATGAATCCAAGCTGGAAAATATTCTTCAGGATATTATCCAGGAAAACTTTCCCAACCTAGCAAGGCAGGACAATACTCAATTCCAGGTAATACAGAGAACACCACAAAGATACTCCTCAGGAAGAGCAACCCCAAGGCACATAACTGTTAGATTCACCAGGGTTGAAATGAAGGAGAAAATACTAAGGGCAGACAGAGAAAAAGGTCAGGTTACCCACAAAGGGAAGCCTATCAAAATCACAGCAGATCTCTCAGCAGAAACCCTACAAGACAGAAGAGAGTGGGGGCCAATATTCAACATTCTTAAAGAAAAGAACTTTCAACCCAGAATTTCATATCCAGCCAAACTAAGCTTCAGAAGGGAAGGAAAAATAGAATTTTTTGTGAACAAGCAAGTACTCAGAGATTTCATCACCACCAGGCCTGCTTTACAAGAGCTTCTGAAAGAAGCATTACACATAGAAAGGAACAACTAGTGTCAGCTATTCCAAAAACATACAAAAAGGTAAAGAGCATTACCATAATGAAGAATTTACACCAACTAATGGGCAAAACAGCCAGCCAGCATTCAATGACAGTATTAAACTCATATATATCAATATCAATCCTAAATTTAAATGGGCTAAATGCCCCAATCAAAAGACACAGACATCCAATTGGATAAAAAGCCAAAGCCCATCGGTATACTGCATCAAGACCAATCTCACATGCAAGGATACACAAAGACTCAAAACAAAGGGATGAAGGAAGATTTACCAACCAAATGGAGAGGAAAAAAAACACAAGAGTTGCAATTCTTGTCTCTGATAAAACAGACTCTAAAGCTACAAAGACCAAAAGAGACAAAGAAGGACATTACATAATGGTAAAAGGATCAATGAAACAAGAAGAGCTAATGATCCTAAATATATATGTACCCAATACAGGAGCACCCAGATACATAAGGCAAGTTCTTAATGACTTACAAAGAGACTTAGACTCCCACATAATAATAGTGGGAGACTTTAGCACTACATTGTCAATATTAAACACATCAACGGGACAGAAAATTAACAAGGATATCCAGGACTTGAACTCATACCTGGAATAAGTAAACTTAATAAACATTTACAGAACTCTCCATCCCAAATCCACAAAACACACATTTTTCTCAGTATCACATCACACCTATTCTAAAAGTGACCACAAAATTGGAAGTAAGTCACTCCTCAGCAATTGCATAGCATTTCACAGGTTTAAATGAAATACTGGTTGGCTGCTTTTTTGTTATTTTCCTCCCTTATTCCTTCCTGTCTCCATTTTTAAGCACATTTATTGGTATAAAAGAGGTTTTTAATACCCATTTTTAGACTGCATTCTAGCCTGGGCAATAGAGCAAGATTCCCGTTCTCTCTCCCATTTTCTCTTCCTCTCTCTTTCTCTCTTTTTTCTTCCTTTCTTTATTCTCAAAAAAAAAAAAGAAAAAAAAAAGAAGAATAGAACCTAGAATGAATTTTGCCTCAGATGCCCTGAAAAGAAAAACATCTCTCCCTAGAGCAACATTATATCCACTTCAGTATAGTCAAGGAAGTATGTTCCATTAAAGTAAAAGGAGCTCAGCCTCCCAATGTAAGTACACACCACCACCTACGAAGTATTCTTGCGGAAATATTAAAACATATCTCTACCAATTTATCGTAATAAAGGGGAAGAAGAATATGCTATATGAAGATAACATCAGTAAAAAACAGACGGTGGGAAATTCCAGAGGACAAAGGATCCAGTTTCTTCAACAAATAAAAAATTGTAAGAAAAAAATTTTAAAGGGATCTAGAGTTTAAGAAATAACAACCAGTAGCTATAAGGATACTGATTCAAACAAACTGTAAAAATGATATGATGTCTGGGATTCCCTTCAAAATAACCCATGAAGGGGTATAGATAAATAAGGTTAGCTACAAAACTAATTGTTAAAGTTGAATAATAAAGACCTGAGAGTTCATTGTCTTTTCTCTCATTTTATATATATTTGAAATTCTTTTACAATGAAAAGCTAAACAAAGGGGCTGGGTGTGGTGGCTTACGCCTGTTAAGGAAGTGATTGCTTGAGGCCAGGAGTTCAAGACCAGCCTGGTCAACATAGCAAGACCCCATCTCTAAAAAAGAAAAAAAGAAGTTAAAAGAGGGGAAGGACTTAGTAGATCCTTTTAAAAGGAAAAGTAAATAAAATATGTAGGATCTACAGCTAAGGGGCTAGAGTTTGAGACCTAAAAACCTTCTGACGTTGATGTAAACTGTGAAACACTTAAAATTTACAAGAGAAGGCTATATACAAAACTAAGAATCAAAGATTGAGCCACTTTAATTAATGTCACTGTTAATTGGTATTTACCTTAGCTACCACTAAGTGATACAAAAAGACTATTACTTGAAAGTTTAGAATATAGTGACTAATTTTTGCTTTCTAATGAGTTATTTTCCTTTTGTGCTGTCCTTCCATGTATAGGTATCTTTCCTTATATGATTGCTGGCTGCTCCAAATGCTGAATTTTACCATATAATATTCAAAAATAGCTAATTTGCTCTAACAGGATTGTAAAAATCTGTATTTTGGGGAGGCAGAGTACTAAACAAATTGTGCTGCTCTCTTTAGTCTCAATCCATGTACTTTCCCAGTATTCTTCATGCAAACATTTTCAGGTTGATATTAATATTAAAAACTGAAAGAGTCAACAAGACTCAAACATGTCAAACAGGAAAGCATATGCACATATAATATATTCCTTAAAGCTAAAAAGAAATCTTCAAATAAATTTATCTAGTAAGAAACACCATGGCAAATATGGCAGGATCCAAAAATATGGTCTTGAAAGGACGAATTCTGGCTGGGCATGGTGGCTCATGCCTGTAATCCCAAAACTTTGAGAGGCAGAGGAGGTCAGAAGTTCAAGACCAGCCTCACCAACATGGAGAAACCCCCGTTTCTACTAAAAATACAAAATTAGCCAGATGTGGCGATGCATGGCTGTAATCCCAGCTACTTGGGAGGCTGAGGCAGGAGAATCGCTTGAACCCAGAAGGCAGAGGCAGAAGTTGCAGTGAGCCGAGATGGCGCCATTGCATTCCAGCCTGGGCAACAAGAGCCAGCAAAACTAAATTGTCTCAAAAAAAAAAAAAAAAAAAGGGAAGAATTCCAATTCTGCAACCACTACATCTCCTCCAGAGTTTTTTAATAAAGATTTAACATTGATATAAGAAGCCATACTGTAATAACAAGCATGTAACAGGTTCTTAATAAATGCTACATAAAACTAAATCTAGTCAAACCCTTTCATTTACAAATTAAGAACAAAAAATGACTTGTACAAGGTCACACATTGGTTTTTACTTGGCTCCATTATACAGTTAAAAATGTTACGATTATGTCTGATAATAATGCCTCTATTTTACACTGGGATTTTAATCAAGAAGAACATTTTGTGCCCCCGTCTCGCCATTCTGGAACTTCCTTATCCATAGAAACATTATGTATTGTCAGTAAAAAAGATAAATTAAAGGTCAATGACCTCTAGTGCTGAACCTTTCGAGGCAGTTGCAGGTTTCAAATATGGGCAAATTTACCTGGTCTACAGAACAGGAAACAATCCCCACAAAAATAATGAAATGAAACATGAGACAGCTGCATGCACTGCGACTCATCCATAAAGATAACTGTTCTTTCTGGGAGATGAAAAGTTAAGTCTTTAGTTTCTTTTCAAACATTTAAAAAGCTTTTTAAACTTTTTATTATTCAGTCTGTATACTTACAAACATTTAAAAAGAATCTAAAACATGGGCAAGATAACATCACTGGATTGTGTAATGGAGAAAACAACTCTTTTTCCCCTACAGCATAGTTTCAGAAGTTATATATCCATGTAGTTGTGTCAGATATAAGGCAGATCTTTAAATGAGAAAAACAAGGGGATACATGTAAGTGACTTCACTTTTTTGAATGTACCTTACTTGTCACCAATAGGTGACAAGCTATGTATGTCCAAGTCTTTTTTTTTAACTGAAAAGCATTAGACTAACCCATGGTATTAGGTACTTAACTGAGACTATAAAAAAGAAAACCAAAATGGAAACGGTTTAAAGAGCTGAAGTTAAAATGAGAATTCCATTAAGATGGCATATCCAAGCAATGATGCTTAATGGTCAGATTAAGTACTATGCCAGTGTCTCATATAAATTAATGAGAACATTTCTTAAAACTGTAGTTAAAATGGCCTACAGGTATACTTATAAGATATGACTTATTACTCTTTTCTAGAGTTAAGAGTTTATTAGGGCAGTAAAGGGTTCAGTATCCCAAATTTGATCCAAAAAGAAAGTCACCAAGTTCAAGGTCCTACAGTCCTCCACTTAAACTCAAGAATCACAGAATTTTTCTTATACCAAAGGCAAAAAAATACAAAACCAATTTGATAGTTAATATTAAAATTCTCTTCCACAAGGCAGTAAGAGAACCAAAGGAAGGAAAATCTGACCTAAAAGCATTTCAATCTATAAAGGAGTACACTATCTCAGGAGATTAAAAAATTATGCATTGATCTCCTCAATGTTCAAATGATGCTTTAGAGAAGAAGATATCAAACTGATATATTTTTAAAGATAGAAGAGTTATTAGTAGAAATAGGTAAAATAATTTATTAAGGATATAGTTAAAAACGTCTAGATTTTTCATTTTTCTCCCTGTGCTTTAAAGCATAATGCTATTTAGGAATGTCTGGTAGTATTCTCTTTTTGGGTTACTTCAAAGCAATATTATGGATAAGGAATCATTTGTTTTTCGGTCAATAGTTTAAAAAACACACCCACACAGAAAAACTGCAAAATACCAGAATTTTTCCCTAGACGAGAAAGCTTTTTAACAACCTAGAAAATCAGGTTGAGTCTCTAAGACCTGTTAGTTCATGGGTAAACTAACACTATCACTACACTCTCACTATCCAATAGAAATATAATACAAACCACAGAAATCTTAAATTACCTAGTACATTAACAAGTAAAACATATATTACATTTAGTAAAGTATTTTAATATGTCAAAATATTAACACTTTAATATGCAATGAATATAAACATTATGGAGATATTTTAGATCTTTTTCATACTAAGTCTTTGAAATCCAATGTGTATTTTATACTTAAAACACATCTCGATTTGATTTGGCCACATTTCAAGTATTCAAAAGCTACATATAACTAGTGGCTACTGTGCTGGACAGTGTATGTCTATGGCACAGCATGTCTCCTGGGCTATACTTAAAAGTTTGTGCTGGGAGCTATAGCTCACACCTATAATCCCAGCACTTTGGGAGGCCAAGGCAGTAGGACTGCTTGAAGTCAGGAGTTTGAGACCAACTTGGACAACAAAGCAAAACCCTGCCTCTACAAAACATAAAATAAAATACATAAGCCAGGTGTGGTGATATGTGCCTATACATCCAGCTATGTGGGATGTTGAGGCACGAGAATTGCTAGAGCCGGAAGTCTGAGGCTACAGTGAACTATGATCGTGCCACTGCACTCCAGCCTGGATGACAGAGCAAGACCTTATCTCTAAAAAAGAAAAAAAAAGTATAATGACTGCCTCAGAGGTGAGCATAAAGAGACAAAAGAGGTCATCTGTTATTCTTACAGGGCTTACATCTAAAATATATATAAAACTGACAGTCTTTTGGGTAGACTGCCATCAACCATGATACAAGCAGATTCATTCCTTTCTAGATTTTACTTGGACAGCAAAGTGATCAGTATCTCAGGATCTGGTCCCCACCACCAAAAAAAGTGACTAAGCTAATATCTTACTGTTCTTCACTTAAAATCAAGAATCACAGGCACAGATAAGGCATTTATATATTATAGTTGGTAAGGAATTATAATATAACATAAGCAGGAGTCCGTTGTCAAGTATAAAGTTTGTATGAAAATGTCAGAGGCCAACTATATGACAGCCTGGAACCAATAGAAAACTGCAAAGTAAGTCAGGTTATTGACATATTGCCAGTATCCTAGAAGTTCACTTTGTAAAGACTGTTCCTCCTAATATCCGCAGGTAACCCAGGGAAATAGTGGCTAACGATCAAGTAAATTTAGGAATTGCTGGGTTAAATAAAATGAGCCAGGATTTTAATATTGTTTAAAATACAATTTTAAATTAAGGATTAAGTTCCCCTATCCTTACAAGACTGATCATGAAACTGTCAGAGGCGTGTGAACTATTTACTCCATCTTAAATAGGAGCTGAGTAAAATGAGGCTGAAACCTACTGGGCTGCATTCCCAGACATTCTAAGTCACAGGATGAGATAGGAGGTTAGTACAAGATACAGGTCATAAAGACCTTGCTGATAAAACAGGTTGCAGTAAAGAAGCAGGCCAAAACCCACCAAAAACAAAACAGCCACAAGAGTAACCTGTGGTCATCCTCACTGCCACACTCCGACCCACACCGTTAACAGTTAACAAATGCCATGGCAACATCAGGAAGTTACCCTATATGGTCTAAAAAATGGGAGACATGAATAATCCATCCCATATTTGTCGTATTATCAAGAAATAACTATAAAAACGTGCAACCAGCAGCCTTCAGAGCTTCTCTGTCTATGGAGTAGCCATTGTTTGATTCCTTTACTTTCTTAATAAACTCGCTTTCACTTTTCACTATGGACTTGCCCTGAATTATTTATTGCATTAGATCCAATCCAAGAACCCTCTCTTGGGGTCTGAATTGAGACCCCTTTCCTGTAACAAAACTTTTTTTTTTTTTGAAACAGAGTCTCGCACTCTGTCGCCCCAGGCTGGAGTGCAATGGCTAGATCTTGGCTCACTGCAACCTCTGCCCTCGAGGTTCAAGTGATTCTCCTGCCTCAGCCTCTGAGTATTGGGGATTACAAGTGCATACCACCATGCCTAGCTAATTTTATATTTTTAGTACAGATAGGGCTTCACCATGTTGGCCAGGCTGGTTCAAACTCCTGGACTCAAGTGATCCACCTGCCTTGGCTTCCCAAGTGTTAGGATTAGGGCATGAGCCACTGAACACAGCCTTAATATGCTAACATGCATTGTATCCATTTAAGAGTGGGTTGGAGAGCTATCCCATACACCATTTCCCAAACTAATGAAAAAACACGTTATTTTCGTGGATCATCTTGAGAAACTATTAGTCCACGTGCAGAATACTGATTTAAAAGCACAGATAAGGCTACTCCTACAACCCTAGGGAGAATCAGTGTTAGAGTATTTATCTGTAAGCAATATGAGAGGATTGTAGCCTAAAGCTTGGAGGGTCTAGATCCTAACAATATTCTAATGTAAACTCTAATAAGTAAATGATCAGGAATACCTTTTTGATTTAGTCAAAACCAAAAGGCAATGACCTATGGAGCCATACTATCCACCCATACACACATTCAAGTAACAATGGCAATGGAATATAATATGAATTTAATTAAAATCTTACTCCAAATAATCTTATTTTAGCCTTGTGCTTTTAAGATCAAAAAAGGAACTTTATGAAATCAAATAGGAGTGAGGGTCAGAAACTCACCTTACTCCAGAGCTGCTACAGTTCAAACTAGGCATCCTTAAGAATTTTGTGAAACTCAAAGCACAAAGTTTAAAGAAGTAACTGAACAACAAGAATAAGTAGTATACACAGAAACATCTAAAACAATCACATTGTTTAGAACCAAAAGTCACCGGAGTACCTAAAAAGGCATCTATTAAGACAATAAAGGCCAAAGAAGAGTCTTTTCCCCTAAGAAGGAAGACTTTTCTATGGGTTGTAGAGAGTGTTTCAAAAACGTAAGAGAGAGCACACACTCCAAAAAATATTGTCTAATTTCTCCAAATCCCTAGTCTGAATTAAATGCTCTTTCTACATCATCAAAGAAGAGAGAACATAACATGAAGTTGTAACACTTCAGTCTTCAGAGCATATAGCTGTAACTGCCCGTAGCAGGAAACTCAAGTTTTGCCAATTCTAGTGAGTATGTAGAAGGTTGTCTTAATTTGCCTTTCCCTGAAAACTAACAAGTTTTAATGAGTTTCTGCAGGTTTTTGAACACAATTCCTTTCTATGAAATGCCTGATTATGCTTTTTGCCCAAATTTCTATTGGCTTCTTAGAAATCTGTAAAATATCTTTATCTCAAATACAAATCTTCATTTAGTTACATTGCAGCTATCTTCTCTCACTTCTTCTCTCAGAGTGATTTTACCTTTTCACTCTCAATATGTTGATACAAGTTTGACTAACAAAAGTTTAAAATTGAATGTAAATGCCCAGATGTTTTCACTAGAGATTTCGACTAAACATTTAAGAACTATACCTATGTAACAATCCTGCACGTGCTGCACATGTACCCCAGACCTTAAAGTATAATAAAAAAATTAAAAACCAATTCTATACATTGCTTTACAGAAAACAGAAGATGAGAGAAAACTTCCCAATTTATTTTATGAAGTTAGTCATTACGCTACTATTAGCAGAGGGACAGAAACACACATCAACGGAGCATGACTAAGAACCTGGAAATAAACTCACTCAAATATGCCTGAGTTTTGAAAAACTGAAAGTGATTAAATGGAGGAAAGCAATCAGACTCTCACAATTAAAAAAAAGAAAAAGAATACTACCTCACATCCATTAGGACAGCTACCATGAAAAAGAAAAAACATACAAAAACCCAGAAAATAACAAGTGTTAATGAAGATGTGAAGAAAGTGGAATCCTTGTATACTGCTGGTGGGGATATAAAATGGTGTAGCTGTTATGGAAAACAGTATGGTGGTTCATCAAAAATATTAATATTACCATATATTACCATATGATCCAGCAGTTCCACTTCTGAGTATATGTCAAAAAGAATAAATGCAGAGTAGAACAGATGTTTGTACACGAATGTTCAGAGCAGCATTATTTACAATAACCAAAAAGTGGAAGCAACCCAACTGATGGATAAGTGGACAAAAAATATTATACACACATACAAAAGAATATTATTCAGACATAAAAAAGAAAAACATTCTGATGCATGCTACAATGTACCTTGAAGTACAATGTACAATGAACCTTGAAGACATTATGCTAAGTAAAAGAAGCCAGTCACAGAAAAATACTCAATAACAAATGCTGGCAAGAATGGGGAGAAAAGAGAACCCACATATACTTTTAGTGGGACACAGTGGTTGGTGCACAATCACGATGGAGAATAGTTTGGAGGCTCCTCAAAAATCTAAAAGTAGAGATACCATATGATCCAGGAATCACACTGCTAGGTATTAGACCAAAGAAAGGAAATCAGTTTGTCAAACAGATATCTGCATTCCCATGTTTACTGCAGTTCTATTCACAATAGCCAAGATATGGAATCAACTTAAGTGTCCATCAACAGATGAATGGATAAAGAAAATGTGGTACATGTATAAAACGGAGCACTATTCAGCCATAAAAAAGAATGAGATCCTGTCATTGCAATAACATAGATGGAACTGGAGGTTATTATTTTAAGTGAAATAAGCAGCACA